GTCTGAGATGCAGTGGAAAGTTTTCCCCTATATTGGAAAAAGTGAAATAAAACCCATTTAAAATGCCCCAAAAATGGGCAACATCCCATCAAACAAGCTACTAAGTTATGTCCCTTCTAGTTGACCGTTTTTTGGCTCAGCACTTCTGTATAACAGTAAAGACGTCAATGGTTCAAACTACTTCATACTTTTCCATTATAGGGCTATTCCTTCTACCATATGTATTACGAATACTACTGTATTTTAGGTGTGTCTTCTTAAAAACGGGTACCGGCCCTGTATTTGTGTCTTTGATCCTTTGCTGATGCTTCACGGTGTTGGATGGAGGTACTGATGGTACAAACTAAGATGGAGCAGGACAATGTGTACCTGACAGCAGAGAGCATACTGCCTTACTCCCCAGTGCATATCACATTTTATTTCAAATAACAACACAGAATTACATGAAAGTATTTACAAATACACAGAGCCAAGGTATCTAAAACCCATTAGCAAACCAGGTATCAACACAAAAATTAGAACACCAGTTATCACTACATATATGAAGGGCAAATACAGCTCTTCTATTAAAATAAATAAATCTGTTGGGGAAAGGTTGTGTTAAACTATAAACTGTAATATAAACAACACAACAATTGTGCCTGGTATATAAACTTTAACCCCTTAAGGACCAAACTTATGGAATAAAAGGGAATCATGACATGTCACACATGTCATGTGTCCTTAAGGGGTTAAAAAGAGTAGACAGATCCTGAAATTGTAGTCGCTGCGATACTGATCTTAACATAGTTTAATATATTTCCAGTGGATTTCCATTTGTAAATGGTGAGAACATTCTGACTGTGGCATCTACCAAAACTCCTAATCTTTATGAGCTGAGAAAAATAGTTAACCCCAAGGACTTTAAGTAGAATAAAAGTAGCAGAGATTGTGACTGTTTATTTATAGAATGTATTAACTCCCCATGGGCTGTTGTATTTATAGGATTTTGTTCTGTGTTGTGGCATTTGTGACTTTAATCTCGATAGCTCTCTGAATACATATATCAGCCTTCTGTGCAAAGTAGGAATTGCTTAATTAGACCAAGCATTTACAAAGCTTAACCGTGGTTGGGGAGAGGCACAGCGTGGTAAATTTTATAGATCTCTGTGTGTTATGAAACAATCTACAGGCTTCTATTGATTGAGGCCTGCCATAGAGGTAAACTTGCTTATATAATTAAATATAGCATGGATATTTTTTAAAAATATATTTCTGATAAGTTTTGTATTATGTTATAATGCTTTTTAATCCTATATATACTGAATATATATTTATTACGGTGTATTATGGGAAAATAATGATATAATGCCATGGGATCTTGAATACATTGTATTTAATCTAACGTTTGAGTCATTTGTGAAGATCTCTAGAACCCACAGATGGCGTTTTTTTACTCTAACATACACGTCTACATTATGAAAGTTTTATATTATATCATTATTTTTGTTTAAAATCAGGTTTGGCATCAGAGCTGGAATTAGAATTAGGAGTAGGGGTAGGGATTGTGTTTCTTTAATCTTAAATGAACACTATAGTGTTAGGAATATAAAACTGTATTCTGAACACTATAGTGTCCCTCTGCCTCTGCGATGTCTGCTCCTCCCCTCCCAAGGAAATTGGGCTAACTGGGCTCCTGTCCTGAGGTCCCTGAGCTCTAGCTAGATAGACAGCGACTAGACAAGGAGTTAAAACTGCAATATAATTATTGCAGTTTCTCAGAAATTGCAATAAGTAACACTGCAGGGTTAAGAGGACAGGGGCACTGCACATAGACCACTTAAATAAGAGGAAGTGGTCTTGGTGCCTATAGTGTCCCTTTAAGGCAGCACTTAACATATACTCAGTCTGCCTGAGATTAGTGGGAAGCTTAGAAAAAGTAACCAAAAGAGAGGAAAAAGAGCAATATTTATTTCAGTCCAACATTTATAATTAACATTTGCAATATTTATCAAAATTAGGGTATACCACATTATTTTTCGATGACTATATGACGTCTATAAAGGTATAAGTTTGGCAGCGGGCAACATTGTTTCAGAGTATTGGCATCATTACTGTAGCTGGATCCATTTGTAGTGGGTGCTCAGAGGGAGAGGATCTTAAGATAAATGAAGAGGGATTTGGGTGGAAAGGCGTTTTAAGGTGAAGAAGAGGTGGGAGGAACTTTAACCTGAATTTTATGGATGTGTTTAGATGCAAAGAGATGCTGGGAGGGAAGCAGCCATAATTTAAGGGATTTGGATATTTGGGAGGCAATAGATTCTAGGTCATGGTGTTAGTGTGAGCAGGGCCGGTGCAAATAATTTTGGGTACATAGGCGAAGATGCATTTTTCCGCCCCCCAAAAACATCTTCACCCATGTGCCTCTTAACCTCCCTTTGTGTTTCTTATCCCGTCTTTTAAATGTCTGACTCCCTTTAATGTATTTTATCTCCTATTTTTGCCTTTGTGTGTCTCCTATCTCTCCTCTTTGTATGACTCTTACATCCTCCCACATTTTGTGTCTTACTCCTCCCAGCCCCTTTGTGTGATTCCTTTTCTCCCAGCCCCTTTGTGTCTTTTATTCTTCCCAGCTCCTTTGTGTGTGTGTCTCTTTCCTTCTCAAGCCACGCTATGTGTTTCTTTCACATCCAGTCCCTCTCCCTGTCCCTTAATGGTCCCCTCCCTTCTCTGACCCTTACTGTTCCTCTCCCCTCTCTCCTCCTTTCCCTGTTCCTCAGTGTTCCTTTCCCTTCCCCCCTCCTTTCCCTGTCCCTTAGTGTTCCTCTCCCCTCCCCCCTCTGTTCCCTGTCGCTTAGTGTTCCTCTCCCCCCCTCCCTCCTTTTCCTGTACCTTAGGGTATCTCTCCCTGTCCCTTGGTGCACCACCCACCCCATAGTGGTCCCCTCCCATTCCTGGTGTGCCTCCTACCTTTTTTGTAGCGTGGCTGAGCGGAGCGAATCCCGGTACAGTGAGCTTTTCCTGTCAGTCCTGCCAGGTACAGGAAACAGAAGTTCCTGTACCATGGTACACTCTGCTTGGCCATGCTACAGTTAGGGGTGTATAAACACTGACAGTCACACACTCAATGACAAACACACAGACATCTCTGACAGCCAGACTCACTTATCTGACACACTCATTCATTGACAGACACTCACACGCACACTGACAGACACACAAACACTGACAGACTCATTGACAAACACACACTGACACACACACACACAAACTCACAGACACTGACAGACACACTCACTCACACACACACACACAGGCACACGTACTCACACACACTGACAGACACACACACTCACATGCACACACACACACACACTGACAGACACACACACTCACATGCACACACACACACTGACAGACACACACACTCACAGTAATTAATAATCTAAATTAAATAAAAAAATTCCCACCCAGCCTCCCTACCTGGAGAGCTGGCGTGGGTCTCTCATTGGTGGTCCAGTGGAGCTACTGGGAGGCGTGCGGTTGAATTGGATTCCGAGGTGGCGAGGGAGCTCTGATCTCTCTGATGTGCTCCCTCGCAGGCTGTTTACTGATGCCGCGGGAGCCGTAATATGACGTCATCAGTAAACAGCCTGCGAGGGAGCAGATCAGAGAGATCAGAGCTCCCTCGCCGCCTCGGAATCCAATTCAGCCGCACGCCGCGCCGGGGATCCAGAAGGTGACCTGGCAGGAGGGAGCACTTCCGTCCTGCCGGTTACTGGAATTTTGCACCCCCAGCGCCGGTGCGCCCTAAGCCAGCCGCCTGTGCCGCCTTATGGACGCGCTGGCCCTGAGTGTGAGGCAGATGTTCCTAAAATAAACAGTATATAAGAGGAGTCAGGGGGGTCTGAAATAGGGCTACTTAAAGGGAGACTATACAGGGCTTACTAATATGAAAGAATGGCGAGTGAGTACTGGGAGAACTTGACAGAAGTTGGTGCTGAAATGAAAGAAATAGAAGTGGGACTGTGGCATAAGAGGGAGAATTAGATTGGAATGGACAGTAAGGGGATAAACCAAAACTACTAATTTATGAAACCAATGGACATAGTTACTAACTAGGTACTGAAAGCTGACACTGCTTTATTCTTTGCTAGATTAATGGAGTTGAGAATGTAGATGACTTGAAGAAGGTTTCTTAATATATATAATATATTTCTTTGCTGCATGCATTCTTAAATGAACACATTTTCCCCTTTCTACATACATTTGTTAAAATTCTAGGAAAGACACACATTAAGTTTGATTTTATGGTCTGAGTCACATTGAAGATCAATGATTTCCCTTGGAGTCTCAATTACATTCACATAAAAGTGGTTAGTTACCACTTTCAGGGCCCTTTCTGGAGTGTGGAAATCTCGGAATCCATCTTGGTACGCAGTCTGGAGCTGAGATATTTATGCCAAATATTGTGGGCAGTGCAGTCCAGTATTTGCTTTTCAGCTTCCTCTTTCTTTGGGCCATTGAGTGCTTGATACTGGATCAGGTAATTTCCTGTTGTGGTATGTTAATGTGAGCTTGCGTACACTAGTATACACTATAATCAACCTGTTGTACTGTTTTTATAATTTTGGGTTGTTTTTCCCTTTCCCCTTCATCTGTTTCCCCATCATCAGATCTATTATGCCCTTCCACTAGGTCCTAAACCACCCCAGGTATAATTTTTGGCACCATCATCAGATCTATTATGCCATCCACTAAACTGTATGGCAGGGGTAGGTAACCTTCCACATTTTGTGCAGTATAAATATATGAGCACATAACCTCTCCCACTTTAACCAAAGTAGCATAGCAATAATTCAAGATGGCTGCTCCCTGTTCCTATCAGAAGCTGTTTCACTCTTCCAGATAAAACCAATTAATTCACTAAATATTAATTTATCAAAATCAACATGAGACATAAATATGAATTAATGTTACTTTATTACGTATATTTTACATTATTAATATAATTTTGCAGACTCCAATAGCGAAATTAAGGACTTTGGGGCCAAGATATATCTTTTGAATCTTGCATATTACGACAAATTTGATCAAGAAACAGCCAAGATGTGGGCAACCTCTGGACTCACAAAGAGTCATCCTTCAGCACTCAGGAAAGGAAAAACCTCCTTTGGAGGAAACCTCTAGGGAACCATGGCTCGAAGGACTGCCCTTCCCTCTGGGCATTAAGAGGCAAATACAGAGAATTCAATAGATTCAGAGCATACTCTTTTATAAACTATTTAACTTGGTAGAGAGACAGACATACATAAATAGACAGACATATATACATGGACAGACTGGCAAATAGATATACAGATAGAAAGATTACTAAAGTAGAGTCACAGAAAGACATACGTAGACAGACAGAGAGGCACATATATAGATAGAAGCTTACAAGAGCAGATAAAACAGAGATTGAGAGATGCTACCAATACCTGGAGCTGTACGCTAAGCAATTACTTCCCTTTCTTATTTGTAATGCATCCAATGCTGTGTGCGCCATGCTTAGAATCCCTTTTGAAAAAGCACCAGCTTTTGATAATGTGTATATGAGTAGCTGCACAAAATATATAGCTGCTAGAAGTTCCATTGCTGAGGCATAGATCTCTAAGCCATTGAGATGGTGCGAGAACCATGAATATAGGTGAAGCTCTGTTAGGGCCTCAGTTATAACTGGGGAGAAAAAGAATGTTCAAACAGTTACAGCAGCAGTTACGGCTATGACATCACAACATAACATCACCTATTATGATGTAAGTGACCGGGATCAGAGTTCCTGAAGTGATTATCTTTATGAATATAAAAGGGGACTGTGCTAAACCTGTAAAAGGAGTCTTTACAATCAATATAAATTGTATATCAATCTAAAAGTTAACTTTGTAATCCTATTTCCTTTTGAACCTTTTGTCCCTCTTAGAGATAACAGTTTTTCTTAGTCTATCTGTCATTTTTAGAATACAGTTGTTAATTTACTGTAATTCACAATTTAGTGAATAAATACCATTCTTTACTATCAAATGGATGTTTCCAACCAACTTGATTGGAAGGAATATTTTCTAAAAGTGAAAAAAAAAAGTGTGTTCACCTTTAAATAACATGATGTCTTTAACAAGGCTACTGGCGTAATAATTGTACTAAGACATGTTCTGTGTTGTAAGAAATGGTTGTGACTAACATTTTTGGATGAGATCCAGTACATGAGATAGAGTGGCCTTCATCCTCAATTGTTTATCCGTCCATTCCCAATAAGTTAAACATATAACAAAAACAGTTGTAAATTATTTAAAAGAAAAAAAAAAAAAGAAGAAAAATTTGGAAAAGCAGACTTCATTTTTTTTTTCCAACTTGTTAATCCCGTACATTTCACATGTCCTGCTACCAGCGATGTTGAAATAAAACTTTGCACGGACAAAGTGTGATTCTGGAATGGAACTAAAAGTTGTCTCACAATTTATACTTATTCACTTGCTCCGTTGACATCAAAGCAGATCTGTGTGTGCAGAAAAAACATACCGTCTTTAAATGACATCATGCAAAAGAATGAGTAAGTGAGCTTGCCCGGTAAGCAATAAGGCTATGTTTCAGAAGATCAAAAGTTGGCAATGAGCTTCCGCATTTATTCTGCCAAGCCAGAAACAGCAAACGAGGCAGTGGAGTGGGCTTCACCCTTTTTTGGTTCCCTTAGTACAGTGCAGCTGTTGTATCAGCCAAGGGAATGTCAGCTACAAGTGCAAAGAGACTGAAATGTAGGTCACAGCGAACAGCAGAGAGGAGTAAAGTTAAAATTACCAGTGCCTCTCTAAGAAAACATTTACAAGATTCTTAAATTGTTGCATATCTATGATTTGTTTGAATGGAGAGCTATCATTTTTTTCACGGGATAAAAGGAGAAGTTGCCTAGTTTCTCCTTTGTCTACTTGATTTTTGTAAAATTATTAAACAAAGTAAAAACGAAATACATTCAGCCACAGAAGGGCCTGGAGGATTTGGATCCCCTGAAACATTCCAACGGTGATCCCTAGTGATCTAGTAAGCTGAGTCAGCTCTTCCCCTTGTTCCTCACTAGCCAATCCATTTAAGAAAGCAGGAATAGGAAATCATGTCCAGTGCCTCCTTGCACTACTATGTGGAAGAAGCTCAACTCATGTCAACAGGAATATTTGCTGGGGGTTGCTGGGGGTTGCTGGACGTGCTGGAGCCTCGAGTGGTCCTAAACCACCCCAGGTATAATTTTTGGCCCCTTTTATCTTTGTTAGCCCTTAGTCCCCTGTAACACTGAGAGAGAAATGACACCTTCAGCTACATTATTAGTGACAACAGCTCTTTAATATTCCCCCAATATTATTGTTAATTATACAGAACAGTGTGGGACTATTGCTGTGGATGTAGGGTTAATACACCAAAGCCTGAGGTTAATCCAGCAGGCGTGGAGTTTAGAAATAGAGGTTTATAAAATACTCTGAATTTATTCAAAGATTTGGTGTGACAGAGGGATTTCTAGAACATATTAGGTACAGGGTTGGACATAGAACATGTTAATAGTGTGGTTTTGTGAGGGGCTTAAAGAAGCACTATAGTGCCAGGAAAACAACTCGTTTTCCTGGCTCTATAGTGTTATTAGGCCACTAATAACCCCTTCAGCCACTTACCTTTCTCCAGCGCCGAGTTCCCTCAGCGCTGGAGAACTCTCCTCCCTCTGCTGACGTCAGCGCCGAATGCACATGTGCGGCAAGAGCAGCACGCGCATTCATACCGCCCATAGGAAAGCATTGAGAAATTTTCACAGTGAGAATCGCGGAAGTGCCTCTAGTGGCTTTCAGTGAGACAGCCGCTAGAGGCTGGATTAACCCTCTGACTAGAGGGACCTGGCACCCAGAGCACTTCTTTGAGCTGAAGTGGTCTGGGTGCCTATAGTGGTCCTTTAACCCCTTAAGGACCAAACTTCTGGAATAAAAGGGAATCATGACATGTCACACATGTCATGTGTCCTTAAGGGGTTAAGTCAATATATGGTTGCGTCCATTAAATTTACTATTTGGAACCTTGCAATGAGCTGCAACTCAACCTCCAGAGAGTGCATCAGGATATTAGCTGTCACAGATAAAGATATGAGAGTCCCATTCTCTCCCACCAATTACTCCATCCCTGAGTTATGATATTTTTCATACTAAGTGACTTGTAATTATGTGGAGTAATCACAGCATCTCCTGTCTAATAACAAATCTAAAGAGTTGTATTTACCTTTAGCCCATTGGCTATTCACTTTGGCAATGATCTGATATATTATCTCTCTGACTGTTATGATTATTGATTATATTCTAATTGAATAAAAATAAAATATTTAAACAATAATAGTATCATTGCAAGATATTAACTCATTCAATACCAAACACTTGCAAATAAATTAACATTTGTGAAATCAGTCTGCTCATGAAATAAGGACAAATCAACAATTGATTCCTTTGGGGAATAAAAAAAATAATAACTAAAATGAATATGCAAATGATTGCTGCAAAAAACTTGCAGAAAAATTGTGACTGGATGACTCAAGACAAGGTGCTGCAGCAACTAAAGAATGTTAATATAACACTACACCTCATCAATATATATGCCCCAAACACACTGATCCCAGGTTATTGGGATAAGTTAGCCTCAGTACTAGATTCGCTCCCTCACGGGATAATTATAGTTGGGGGAGACTTCTACGCGATGAAAAGGCAAGCGGCTGACAGAAGCCTCAAACAGGGGATCTTGAGATCACACGGCATGGGTGGCTAAGACAAACTGCTCCACCAGTTCCTTAGATGCACAGGGTTGTTCGACACATGGAGAGCACAACATCCCCGACACGACAGATTATATATTCTATTCGGCCCCCCATTACACATACTTGAGAATAGACAACTTCCTTGTTAATGATACTGACATGGTAAAAGTGCATAGAACAGAAATAGGCTCCATTATGTGGTCAGACCAGCGGACATAGCAATACACCTAGACAAATTCAGTGTAGCCACCCCATGACCTGAAGACTAAACAACTCCTTACTTAAAGATAAGGTCATCGTAATGTCTATTCGTACAGAGCTGAAAACCTATTTTCAAACCAATTTAAAACCTGACGTCCCTCTAGACACAGTTTGGGCGGCGCATAAAGCCGTGATACGAGGCTCAAATTAGAACAACACAAAGCAGACCCGACACAGGCCAAACTCACCGAACTCCAAGCCATGCACCTCTTATTATAGGACACAGCTCACGCCGTACAAAGATCTCGCAGAACCTTCTATGAGAAGTCCAACAAAATTGACACACTCCTCGCCCGCTCAACACCGTACCCATATAACCACAATCCGGGCAAGCGATGGCTCCCTACTTAACACCCCTGAGGGCATATCCCAAATATTCACCGACTTCTTTAATAATGTATACAATCACACCAAGAGGCAAGGAGATCCGATAACCACAGATACAGATATCCCACAGATTGACTCCTTTCTAGACAAACTGAACCTCCCAAAATTGACCGTAGAGGCTAACCACATTCTGGGCACACCAATCACGGCAGACGAGGTAGCGGTGGCAATAAAATCCCTAAAGGGAGGGAAAGCCTCAGGACCAGATGGATTGGAAGGCGGGTACTATAAAACCTTTCACCAAGAATTGACTCCCCACTTGACAGCACTCTTTATCGACCTAATGAGGGGAGGAGCCCCCAATAAAGACATGGCCATAGCCAATATAATCCTACTTCCAAACCTGGTAAGGACACTAGACTCCCCGAAGCGTACAGACCCATCTCCGTATTTAAATCAAGACGCAAAGATTCTAGCCAAAATACTAGCAGACAGACTAAACCCATTTCTGACGCACCTGATCCACACAGACCAGGTGGGATTTATCCCTGGGAGACAGCTGTTCAAAAACACCAGAAGGAACATAGATTTGATATGGAGACTGACAATCACAGATACCTCGGCACTCATACTGTCAGAGCAAAAGCATTTGACAGAGTTAAATGGCCATACATGTTTCAACTCCTGAAACACTTAAACTTCCTGAACACTTTCATAACCACAGTACGAGCACAGACATCACAAATCAAAATCACCAGAGCGTGCACTGAACATTTTTCACTGAGCAACGGCACAGAACAAGGTTGCCCCATCTCGCCTTTGCTGTTTGTGATAACTCTAGTACCCCTGTTACAGGCAATCCATAACCACCCCACAATCCACAGCGTACAAATTAGAAACCAGAACTTCGTAGTGTCGGGATATGCAGATGATGTCATCCTTACATTGACAAATCCCATGGTATCTATGCAGGCCCTGGCCCCACTCTTATCCACCTACAGGGACATATCTGGATATAAGGTGAACATGGAGAGATTCAGCGCCCTCCCACTGTGTCTTTCGGCGACAGACATGACACATATCAGCAACACGTACAAACTACGATTAGCACACAACCACATCAAATAGGGGTAAACTTTACGGCTAACCTAACAACACTATATCAAGCCAACTATATCCCCCTTATCCGAACATTGACTTTCAACATGGAAAAGTGGACTGACACACCGATATCCTGGATAGGCAGAATTCACTCCGAAAAAATTAATATACTCCCCCGTATATTATTCCTCTTCCAAGCACTACCCCTACCAATCTCTAAAAGAGATCTAGCGCCCCTAAAAAAAGAAACAGACAGATTGATATGGCAGAAAAAGAGGCACAGAATATACTTTACTGCCACAAAGCAACCAGAGGACTGGGCCTACCCCACCTCCATTACTACTACATAGCAGCCCAACTAACACAGGTAGCACTATGTCACCACCCTCTCCCCCCCAATCAGGAGATGGGTGGATTTAAAGTCTATGTTGATGGGAGCAGACCTCCCACAACTCTACATCTGGCTTCCCAAAGAACATAGGGCACCCCTGCTCACTACATGCCCATCTATCGCCAACTCTACCCGGTTCTGGGACCATTCGGCTCAGAAGCCTGAG